TACCTCTTCACTGGGTCCTGGACAAGATTTGTGTGTTGATGATTGAATAAAACAATTTAGTTACCTTAAAAACTAAAATACAGAGAATCAACACTCTGAATTCTGGACAAAGGAAGCCAAAGTCTTGTCTCGCCACCATACCCTCTCCTACTACAGCTTCAGAAACCTCCAAGCTGCTTGCTGCTCTGCTAACACCATCACTAGATCCCCTCCTACAACGACGGACCCAACAGAAGTTCCTGTCTATCACCAAATCAACCCCGTTCCTGGGCTAAAAGAAGAAGTCTTTTGGGGTCAGGGAAGACTCAGGACAAGAATGAACATGTGAAGGCAAGGCTGAGGAATGGATCAGAGCGTTCACTACATACAGAGCGGTCTTTCTGTCCAGTACACCAGCTGTCAGGAATCAAACAATGAGTCGCTTGTCCAAGTAAAAATTAAAAGACATAAATATGCATAATACATACCTGCAAACTCAGAAGGGATAAAAAAGGTGACAAACCTAGCCTTGCATTCTGATGTATTTTAACAGGCTGTTGAACATCTACGTTTACCTACATATGTAAACACTTCATTCAATAACTATTTTAGAGACATCAATAAAATTAAGTCAGGTCCTCTGGACAGATAAAATAATTTTAAAAAGTTGAAATTATTGAGCATGAATCAGGATATTTTAGAGACACTTCATTCAACTAGTCCATGGTTGAATGAAGTGTCTCATTGTCTTAAGGCTAAATAATTGAAACATCATCCTGTTTTGAAACTCACTCCTCTGGCTAAAATAATGAAATTATTGTGACATGATTTATCACAAACCAATGACTTTAGGGGAGCACTTGACTTTTATTTTGTTAATTTTTTATTTAGTTTTATTAACACAACATGCCATGGTGACATAAGCAATGGTGACACTGAACTGCATGTTTAAAAAATAAGAATATTAACTTTATCCAATGAACAAGCAACATTTTAATAACAACCAGCAGTGAATTTGTGGGGGGTGGTCATTTTACTGTTTTCTGATGATAGACTCATAACAGAAAATGACCTGCATCATGCAGCCTTCACAACAAATTACACTGTGCCAAGCAAGTGACAAAAAACTAATTAAATCATTTTAGTCAGTTTTGTCAACCTGCATGTAATTATTAAAATTAAAATAATTTACAGGTTCCTTCGAACCTTGGTGCCACCACAATTTCTGCACTTAACTTTTATTCCCCTTTTCGTCACAATCCACTTGGAATAACGTCCATCTCTCTTCTTCTGTTATTTTCCTCTCCACTCTTCCTTCCCCATCACAGATTTTAACTATTTTACTTTCCAGAAAACTTGTGTTCTTTCACCCAAACACCATCTTTGACTCAAGGTGTTCTCTAGAACACCATCAGGTGGACTTTTCAAATCTTACGGCAAAATCTCGACAGACGCGTTAGCCAAGATGCTACACGCTCCGTTTCACACATCCTAACTCCATCTCGCCGGTCAACAACTGACATCATTAACGTAGCGGTAAGCTAGCGTGCAAGACGGTGGTGTCTCCCCCTCCTCCCCGTCAACAAAACCCCTAAGAGATGAGCACCTCCTAAGCTAAGTAACCGAGGAGGAACACTGTTTCTTAAAGAGAAATGATGCCATCCGCTGCGCCTGACACGCCTCCAACCCCCCAACAAAACTCTTCAGATCTACACGATTCACATAAATGACATACTTTAGTTTGAAATTGGCCAATTTTCCAGAAAAGCGACTAGTTTGCAGGTATGCTAATAATCCAACAGTTTAACTGCAAACATTTTTTTTACTTAATTTTTCAGAGGCTAAAACGGAAGTGCACACGTTCAGCAACTTTTATGAATCAACATCAAACAATCATCTTCTGCTTTCTGAGTGCAGGCGTTAGTCTGACCTGCTTAATTTCGACAGCAGCAGTTTGTAAGATAATTTAAAGAGAGGGACATCGCCATCCCCCGATTGATGCCCCCCACTGACATGACAAACGAGGCCAGAGTCTAATCCCAGGGTTAGTTTGGGGGTCAGTGGGCGGACAAGGAGCCACACAGGAAAGGAACATCCGGACTGTCTTCTAGAGGAAGTAAGGATGCAAACCTGCCAGGATTAGAAATGCAGAACCGTCTGGTGAAGATGTTAACGCTCGGCCTGCGTGTGACTGAGGGGAGGATTTAAGAGGCCATCGCAGGGGATCAACGTGAAGGGAGAGATTAATATTTTCCGAATAACAACAGACTTAGGTTGCGATAGGTTTGGACCCCCTCCACACGCATGTGACTGGGCTTTTAGTTAAATTCACATTTTGACAGCTACCCACTATTACGTAAAAGTTGTTTGGCTCTTTTAAACCAGATGATTCATATATTTACACGACTTACGTGAACGTACAAGTTATTATCCCTTTTAATGCTACTGAGTGATGACCAGCATGTGCAGCATTAGGTTCAATCCACTGCGCTCGTGAGGACGAAGGTGAGACACGTCAACTGGCTACGGTTGCGGATAAATGTGTTTGACCAAATCACCTTAGCCTCATTATCGAGTCATGGCGGTGGGCCACAGAAGGCCTGAGTCAAAAGACAGAGGTGTGTTGAGTTCAGGAGCGTTGATCCCTAAGGATGTGAGCAGGATTACAGGACAAGAGAGATGGACATGACTGCTGAATCATTTGGAAAACATAAGGATATTTAGACATATGTTAAAACCATTTACAAGCTTATTTTACAACTTTTCTGTAGGAGTGAAATCTCTCAGAGTTGTCTAAAACCTTAACAGGACACACATCTGGTTTAGTCCTTGTAAAAACATCCAGTTTGATGTCATTTTGTTCAGTGCACAGCGTGAGATGTTCTCTTCCTATGTCTGACAACTGCTGCGAGGGATTAGTGTAAACACTGAGACAACATCCTATTGTGACCCCAACTATTCATATTAACAAGAGATGTTTGGTGAGGCGGTACCGCCAAATGGATCACTGTTTGATGCATCCTGCATTCCTCGTTTGTGACGTAGAGTTGGACACATAAAGGCAGACGGGTAGAAATGGACAGAAGAGAAACTCACTGCTCTCAGATACAGAGCAGGGACAGGATGATCGAGCAAAACTAATACACCCAGAAAGTTAGGTTGGCGTGCCATGCTGGACTAACAACTTTAGGCTATGTATACAACACCTAACACAAGGGGAGGTTTGTCAGATTATGTAAAATGGAGCAACCGTGACATGAGTTGCTGCGGTCAGCTGGTATGGATACTCACCACAAGCTATACATGTAAGATGAGCTCAGAGAGCTGCAGAACTTCAGCTCTCGGCCCCGAGCTGTGGGGTTCAACTACACTAACAAGAGAAACAGGTCCCACTCCAGCTCTTTATAAATATTATCGCCCACCACCAAAAGGCGAAGGCAGACAATGATGTTATCGTTTTGGTTTTTATTTTACGAACAGAAAATGTTTTTCCATGTCTTTGTGTCTGCCTATTAGCAAAAAAAAAATCTCACAAACTACTGAACAGGAAATTATTATTCAATGTACACTACAACCAGTTACCTTTTGGAGTAGGCCTGTCACGATAACAAATTTTGCTGGGCGATTAATTGTCTCAGAAATTATTGCAATAAACGATAATATTGTTTGAAATTTGACAATAATTAGTAATTATTGTAAAATTTAAGAAGAAATGTTTTTGTATCTTATTTTGTTTTGCATGTAGTACCTTTTCTCGACCACCAGATGGCAGTATAAGACTGTTTAAACTGAAGGATGGATAGTGAGGGAGCCAGCAGCGTCTCTTTACGAAAAATGGGAGGGAGACGCTTTGAAGAAACGGCGATCCCCCCCCCCCCCCCCAGGTTGGCCCGTTAGCTTAGCTGGTAGCTTAGCTTCTCAGCTTAACCGCTTTTAACGATCCAAAAACGCAATTGTGGACGGTTAAAACAGATTTTAAAGAGAAAAGAGAAAGGGAGGGGTCAGTAGAAAGAGAGACACGAAAAAACAAAGCCGATAAATGAAGATGAGGTCGATAATTTTCATTCATCATGCAATTAATTAATTAATTGACTTATTGTTTATTGCAACAGGTTTATTTTGGAGTCAATTGAAATCAAGATGGCTGCCACAGCTAATCGACATTAGCTGACAATAAAATGAAATAACTCACTAACTACAGTTATTTAAAATCTAATTTGATGTGGTAGTAGCAGAGAGTTATTTAAAACACATTTCAGATGTGACATTTCACAACATCACAAAACCTAACTTGTTATAACTTTATCATTGTTAAATTAAATTGTACAATTTATAAAATAAATCCCAATACTGACTTTCATGCAAAAAAAAAAAGTGTTTTAAGTGAACAAATAAACTTAAAAGCGTCACAATGTGAAATTCTATCTCTGTCTTGTCAAAACAGGAGGCATGTGAGCAGTTTTTAATAGTTTATAGGGGCAGAAACAGCAGAAGAAAGATTTTAAAGCCCATCTGTCTGAAGGCAGATCAAACCAGTGGTTGAGACAAAATAAAAACGTTTGCCTTTGGTTACTGGCCTCTTAAACCACAGCAAAGAGGAAAAGTTAGTCCAACAAATTACTGTACATCAAAGTTAAACATTAACTGTGGACCTGCTGGTGTCCTACGGAACAAAAAAAAAGATTTATGTCCAGCCGAGCTGCAGCTGCGGGTGTCGAGGCTAAACTTGTGCTATTTAAAAGTTAGCCTATTTATTCTGTTGCTAAGCTACGAGCTAGCGCCGTTTATCTGCTACATGCCGTAAATATCAACCAGTGACTTTATCACAGCTTTCAACTCTTTCACTTTAATAAACATCAAGTTGTTGTTGCTTTTACAACTTTTTAAGCGTTAATAAGAGCCCTACAAACACAAATAGTAATTTAAGTTTTCGGTGAATGGCGCGGTTCAGCTCGGCAGCGGTCTGGATGTAACCGAGCTGAACTTGTAACGTGTGGCTCCTGGATGAAGTCAGAGCTTACCTTGAGCCGACCATCTTCTTCACATCGTAAATGACACGTAGAAGAAGATGAAGCTGTGCTCCAAGCTGCGGCCGTGAGAGTTTCTGACAGAGCCGCGGCGGCTCCGGGGCGGGTGAGTCCCGCACCGAGTCCCCGCCTCTCCACGTGAGTCAAGGGTCGGGATGGGGGTCACCCGGTCTGCAGCCGACCCCCCTCCAACTCTCCATCCAGCTCCTCCCCGCTCTTCATGCCATACCTCCAGAACAAAAGGAGGTAGTTGAGGTATGGAAGCCCGTTACAACCACAAAAAAAAAAAAAAAAAGATCCTCAGAGTAAAAATGTTGAAGCCACAATAGCTGTTTTAAAAAAAAGAAGCGGTTTTTAACAAGTTTTTTGTTTGTTTAATTTTTTGTTCATTTGTTTTTGTTTAATCATTGTTTATGTCTATCATCAATGTAAAAAAGCACTTTCACTACCAAAAATGTTGTTCTAGAATTGCGCCGCTCAAGGTGGCTGCATGTTGGAGTAAATAAATAACTAGAAAGTTCCTGGAGAAACTTTGACGGGACTGCTTATTTATTATTAAATTATTAATAATATTAATATTAATAATTATTAATAATCGAAACTAATTATTATTAATAATAATTATTAATATATTGTTAATTTGTTGATTATTAAAACATTAATAATTAATCATCAATATTGATAATATTCACACCAATAATTAGCATTAATATTAAATATTACTTTTTAATATCAATAATTATTAATATTAAAATAGATAATTATTAACATTAATAATTTAAAATTAATATTTTATTATTATTAGTATTACTAATTAATAAGAGTAATAGGTGGTAATAGGTAATAATAGGTGCCTTCCATGCATGTTGAACCAAAATGGCTCCATATGTTACTCAGTTTCTGTGAAGGGTTTTCTCCTATTCATTTCCTATGGGAAATTTGGCATCTTTGTTAGTAAAATATGTCGCCATGGTAACTGTGAATGCCAATCAAAGTAACTGCACACTTCCCGAAGCCGGTCCAGTCGTTTTGATATAACTTTTGTGGGGGTAGACGCTGTGGTTAACGGAGATAGAAATGTAGACACACTTCCGAGGTGTAGAAAAGTCCCCAATAATGAAGTGCTATGTGTTGTCATCATTGTATGTTCCCAGACAAAGATGAAATTGGCTCTCTGCATTTAACCCATCACACCTTAGATACACCCAGGTGGAGCAGTGGGCAGCTATGTAGGCTGCCTAGGGAGCAATTTGGGATTAGGTGTCCTGCTCAGAGCCACCACAAGATGTGCTATGACTGGGGATCGATCCCAGGACCTTCGGGTCCCAGGTGGGCTGTCCTGCCCCTAAACCATCTCGGTCCCTTTAGTAGCTCTGTTACATTCATTCTGGGATATTGCTTTAGAAAACATTAGTTCCTCTTTCTGGACATAAATGGCTTTTTTTTTGGGTTTGTTTGTTTTTTTTGGATAATTATTTCCTCTGGTATCGGATTCTGTGCAGCTGGAAGGATTTTTACTGAAACCTTTTTATTTTTGGACATTTGTTTTGAACCGTAACCATAACAATAAGATGTATTTTTTACAACCGGGAGCTGCTGATTAACATCTCAAAAGCTCAAATAATACATCAATTACAGCCCCAAATCCCAAATGAGTTAAAAATGAGGCGCCGTGAATACATTCCCGTCTACCTGGCGGTGGTGCTTGAGTGCCTGATCCTGGAGATGGCGGGAAAAGCGGCTCATGAGAACACGAAGACCAGGATCAACCCCAGCACTTGCAGCTGGCTGTCTGCCATGGCAAGGAGCTCAACAAGCTGTGAGGAGTGACCATCGCTCATGGAGGAGTTCTGCCCAGCATTCAGACGGTCCTACTCCCCAAGAAGACTGAAACTTGCCAAGTCCAAGTTGACAGATCAGCATCTGCAATGCAGTCAGTTTCTTCAGATCAGCTGTAAGACAGACAAGAGATCCTTCGTGTCCACAGCCGTCAGCATCTAGAACAACTATTTAATGAAACCAGGACGATGAGTTACAACAACATTTATTTTCCACTTTGGGATTAATAAAGTATTTTTGAACTGAATTGAATTGAAAAAAACAACCTGATGAACTTTCAATAAATGAGTGAAATCAGCAGTCAGGTTTTGTTGCCAACAGTACAAGTTGTTTGTTTACATGCTAACACTGACGCGTACACTTCAGTCTTGGTGCGTGGCAGATACTGAGTTGGTAAAACAATCCCTGGATGCAAACAGAGTCAGAGGGAGAAGAATGGATTCAAAAGGCACTTGCACAAAACACTTTTGCAAACTGGCTGCAAAGACCAGTCCGACTATCCTCTGCCTCTCATAAATCACAGGTGGAGTTGGCCAACTTTTAAGAAATGATGCAAGCATCAGGAAACTAAAGGAGGCGTGGAGCAGAACTCAGCTGGGCTGACATGAAGCGTACACATTAAAAGCGTGGTGGACGTCTCCCTCGCATTGTTTAATAAACATGATAAATTAATTCAGTTAAGAGATGTATTTGTGGTAAAATAATTTATTTAAACTAAATGCAATGGTGCTGTGTGTTTGATTGATCCTTCCATGGTAATAAAAGTTATGTAGTTGTTTAATCATGTGAGCAGGCGGTCGCACAGATACAGATATGCCAGATTACCTTCTTACACGTCGAATGTTTTGGATCTGTTACTACATCCAATAGGGGTAGATTGGCTTCAATCCCCCTCACCACCTTTGTCCACCCAGAAATGACAGAGAAGAGGTGTCTAAATCCTGGTTTGATGTGTTTTGTGAATGTGTCTAATGACACCAGGTTGAATTAAAAAAGGGAAAGTTTTCTCTTCTTCTGAAAAGAAACAGGGACTAAAAGCTGTAAAGGATGAGCGTCGACAGAACCAAAGTCATTTGGAGGAAACTGGGCAGTTGAGAGCTGTAAAACAAAAGCTGGAGCCAAGATCACATGCAAATGAGAAATTCCCAACTCTAACTGGAAGATTTCCATAACTGGTCGTAACTGATCACTGAATTTATGGTATTTGTAAACGTGAAAAATATTTGCTGTTTTATCACAGACATTTTACACGAACTCTGTGTTTGATTTACATAAACCCAAATGGACTGTACTTATATACATCACCTTTCTATCTTATCAAGATACTCAAAGCTCTTTACAACACGATCTGTGTCCTCATTTACCCATTCATACAGCACTCTACTAGATCTGTACAGAGAATAATCAGAGCTTTATCACATTCATACACCGATGGGACACACATTGGAGGCAATGAAGGGTTCAGTCTGGCCCAGGGACACTTCGGCATGCGACTGCTGGTGGAATCAAACCCTCAACTCTTGCATGGAAGGACGACTGCTCTAACCACTCAGCCACAGCCGCCCATAAGGAATCATATGATGTAGAGAAACTGAAACATCAGGTCAGAAACAGTGAAAACTGTTTTCTGACAGCTTATATGGCTCTAAAATTGTGTCTTGTAATGAAACGCTATGTTTTCTTGAGGAGAAAGTAATAATTGAGATTCAAAGTCAGAAATTTGACATAATCTCTTTTAAATCGAACTCTGAGGCCTTTTCATCAAAGTGTTGGAAACAGCTTTCCGTGGAGCAGAGATGTGTGGACCGAAGTTAAAAACCACAACAGACACTGAGCGGTCGTCTTACTGGTTCTTATAGAGCAGGGAGCTGCAACCTGTGGCTCTGGGGCCGAATGAGGCTCGTTGGTCCTGTTGACTGAAAATCATATTTATATTCATGACCACAACAGAAAGGGCTAGTTTTTAATCATTTCCACAATATGCTAATATGAACATAAAATATATGTGCCTGAATTAAAATATTAATCAAAGGAGCATTTGTTTGCAGCCCTGTGTTTTTTAAGCCATTTTCCACTTCTTTATTCTTCCTTCAGAGTGTAAGCTTTCTCTGAAATCCACAGGAAAATGAAACACTTCAACACATTGGAGGCAAGATGTTGAGGAGGGGAACAAAGTGCAGTTTTCCATGACTCATTTAGCCTATCTGTATTATGAATACATATAACACACTATAGGCACCATGAGTCACCAAAGTAAAATAGCTGTAAAAATATGTCAAGTCATTTTCACTATATTAAGAATGAAAGGGTTGACTTTGATAAAAACAAAAACAAAAAAAAACAAGTTCAAGTAAATGAAGGTTTCTCCCCATTACAAGAAATTTAGTAGGTTATAAATAAAAAACAACAAAACGTTCAATGCAAGTACACTTTATTTTATTTGAAGTGCACTTAATATTGAAATAAGTTTCTACAAAATAATACTCAGACAGTACTCATACTTTAGTGTTCAAATTTGATCATAGTGGGATTTAAACATGTTTTTATCTACTCATTAGAAAAGTTTGGTCTTCTCTGTCCTATGTGTAAAAAAAGACCAATTTATTATAGAGGTTTAATTTCTTACTGTGACAAACTATTTTTTATATTCTATAAGTTGTATTTACATGACAATGACTTATCTTTATTTCAAGCTTTGAGAATGTTTCGTGGCTCTGGACAGATTTTGTTAATTGAGCGGGAACAGAAATGGCTCTTTGAATATTAGTGTAGACCTCTGTCATTGAGCAATAAATGACTTGTCAATAGCATTAAATAGATTAAAGTTATTTAATTAATTACATCTAAAGGAGTTATCTAGGTATCCAGCTACAACCAGTTTAGTCAATCCTATCCTGGCTGAAATGAAAGATCCTGTAGGTTGTAACATGCTTTACATATCTGGGATGAGGCTCATTTGAATTTTAAATCAGCAGCGCTCTCATTTGTGCTGGTTTTGCTCGACACAAGGCAGTGAACACCAAAGTTCACGCTCATTAATCCAGGTGTAAGTTCAGTCAGGTCATCTGGATGGGATCTTTTGTTGACCAGGCAGTGATTGAACTTTACCTTTCCTCCTGATAACAGAAGCAGTGTGTTCATGTGGGACTTCACCCTGTGATCCAACAGAGACACCTGCTGGAAGGAAAACACTACACCTCCATGTGACCAGAATAAAATTCATGCCATTTTATTTTCTCAAAAAACAAACAAAAACACTTTTATGCACAAATACTATTGCGCCTCTAGGCCTATAGAAATATTTGCAAAGTAAATGAAACAAAAGCTAAGCTTCACATCAAGAACTACGTTGTGTGTTTTATTCTCTCTGGCACACAAAGACTATAAGGAATTTACAGCTTATCACAGTGAACCCTTTAAGTGCTTTTCTCTTGTAAATAAGTAAACAACAAACATATAAATTGTGGGTAACGATTTCTTTTTCCAAGCGACTTATCACCCCTTACGTTCATTTTGTCAGCTCATATACAACGAGGTCTGCCTCTTCAGTATTATAAAAAATATTGTAAACATTTACATTAATTGCACAACATACATTCAAATACATACTGTACTGTACAGCAAGGTTTTACTTTGTGTTGTATCCTGTAGCACCAGAAGCTAGACAAGTTATTTGGAAACGGTGATACTGACAACACTGAGATGTTTCCACTAATGATGCTTCGTGTTGATGGGGGACTACTGTCGGGTCGGTGGTTGGTGTGGACACGCTCTGGTCACATCTCACAGCTGTGAGGCAGAGGACTTTTCATAAGAGACATTCATTGGTGTTAAGATCAACTATAATACAAAAGATTACGACGAAAAGTCTTGTACAGTAATTTATTACAAAGTCCACATCGGTTCCATGTGCAAACATGTTGGAGGAGATGTTGCTGTGAGTTCATGGGTTTTAGTTCATCGTCCGCATGTGCCACGGAGATATGAGGGCCACGACATGGTTGTGAGCAGCGAAGTGGACCTGTAGATCTTCACACAGTCCTGTTTTCCATGAAATAAAGCTGATTAAAGCAACATCCTGTCAACTATCTACAAACATTAGTGTCAGACTGGATGGTTTGTGGATACCAAACTTCCCACTCATGTACGGCATCCTTCTGCAGGAACAAACTCAAAGTGTCATGAGATGTATTTCATCTTTTAAACTCAGTGTCTCCTCCACTTGGGCAAAAGCTACAAAGAGCTGCTCTTCCAAAACTTAAACGCAGGTTGAATACATCTCAGGTTCCGGTCCGGTGAAGTGAAGTCAAGGTCCTGTTGCTGGAATGAATGGTTCATCATTCTTCTGCTGGAAGATGCCAGTTTGGTGGGTGGTGGGATGTGGTTGGTTAACCAACCCACCCTTTCCAAATCTGCCCCCTGCGCGTGAGAGACAACAAGATGTTAAGTTAAATGTGCCACTTGAAGTATTCACTGGGGACCATGGCTCCAGCTGTTCCTACCAGCACTACAAGGAGAAGACAATGTCACTGAAAACACAACATTTCTGACCTGACAGTTTGAATGCATGAGGTGCAGATTGGCAACGCAGCTAATGAGAGTTACTGTTGATGAAGTACAACGCTAAAAACGACAGATGAGCAAACTACTGGCTCGACTGACCGAGCCGAACAAAATGTAGATGAAGGCAAAAGTAGAGCTGGGGTGACTAGAAAGGAACATATGAGTTATGACAAACTCACAGCGATTTGGAGGAGGGCTTCTTCACTTTTGGCCTCTTTCGACGATGAGCTGGCCTGAGGCATGCACAGCACGTGTACACGTGCAGGGCAAATGCACGTGCATGGAGACAAACACACAGGTATAGACACAGACATACAGGTGTACACACATTTATGCATGCACGCACACACACATACAACCCCCCCACACACAGCAGAGACACACAATTAGGCGTCATTACAAAATGGAACAGAAGAAGCAGGTTTGCATTCAGCCTTCTTTAGTGTTTTGCTTCTTTACACTAAAAGGCTTCAATGGCAAACAGCATGGCAGCTCTATGTGGAGGATGGAAGGTGACAAAATTAAATAAATAAATACGCAATAATGAAATGTATCATTTAATTATTAAAGACATCATTAAATCATTAAATAAACAATTAAATATACTGTTAAATTATTTATTTCATGATTTGTTCAATTATTTAATTTTGTCACATTCCATCCTCATGTGTCACCATGAAATTATGTTAACTGTCAGTCTCACGCATCAAACTCAGTGGGCGGGACTAACGCTGAGCATGTGAAATCCATTGGTTTGGTCTGATGAAAAAAAGCTTTCATTCAAATACACGTAAACACAATTACCGCTTCCTAAAGTTTTGTCAGAATATATTTTCTGGCCTATCGATTATCTGTGGTCGATTTGTCGTCGCTTGCTGTGAGGAGCAGCCAATCAGGCGTCAGGATTAGGGTTAGTCCCGCCCACTGAGTTTAAGAGTGAGGCTGACAGTTAACATGATTTCATGGTGTCACTGGAGGACGGAAGGTACCAAAATTAAATAAATAAATAAATCATGAAATAAATAATTTATAAAAGGTACATTTCATTATTTAACGGTTTATTTAATAATTTAATTTTATATTTTATATGGAACACCAAAATGCTCAAAATTAAATAAATAAATAAATAAAGCATTATGAAATATGTATCTAAGCTTATTATTACCCATAATTGAATGATTTAATTATGTATTTAATAATTAAATGATACATTTAATTGTTATGTATGTATTATGTATTTATTTATTTCATTTTGTCACATTCAGTCCTCCATACATTCAACGAGGTTGGATTTCAGAATTGTTCCTTAAATGTCATTTCCTTGACTACCATAACAATAAACATGACCAAAGGCTGACTGGGGAGACAGAAACCTCCCTGAGTTCCTATTGAAACTTGAATTTCATCTGGATTGTTTGTAAAAGTGTTGAGCAGTGAGCAGTTTGGAGGAAGACATACCTGTAGTCACTGGAGTGGTTTCTCTCTTTTCCCCCTGAAAGAACGTTAAGAGATCAGTAGTCTAAAACGACTCATAAAACAGCAGTGAATCATGTTTACCTGAGAGAGATTTTACTCACCCTTCTCAGGGTTGCATTGTTTATGGCCCTTGCAGCCCCGTAAGCCCACGAGCTGTTGATGCAGTGAATTCAGAGTGTTGCGATCAAGAGAGCTCACGGCGTTTATCAGCTGCAGCAACAGAGGGGACAGAAAGGGCTTTGGGAACTCGGGAAAAATATCTGTTTTCCAAAAAGCATGCACTCTGAAGTGTGCTTTAGGATTATTTTATATTTCTTCCTGTTGAAGTATTGTTTATACTTGTCTTTATGTGCGTGTCTGTCCAAATACAATACCTGGTAGGGGTCAGTGTTGAGGTCAAAGTATTCCAGGAAGCCAGTGGCAAATTCACAGAACAGGAAATTGTGAGTGTCGTTGATGGTCCTGAGGCACCAGTATGTGTTGTTATTGGCACTGGTGCATGCACAGAATGGACCCACTGAGATAAGAGAGGGAGGGGTTGAGGAAGGGTGTGGAGAGTTTAGAAAACAGTTTTAAACGAGGGTGTAATGATGTTTTCATCATATCTGGTGTGGAAAACTGCAGCAGAGAGAAACAAGGGAACATTCCCCAACACAGCATCTTTCTGCAGCTGCTGTCTTTCCTCACTTGTCCAGAAGGGGGCGGTCTGCCAGTGATGGTTGTCGTGGGTGAAGCAGGTGAGGCCGGGCATGCTGCAGGTGTCATTGTTCTGGAGCCTTTTGAGGAACTTACGCAGTTTTTTCCTGCGTTTTTGTTCTTTCTGCAGCCACTGAGTCTTCTGCTTGGAAGCCATTCTGCTGAGACCAGAACTATCAGTGTGGTTGAAGAAGATATATATATACATTTTTCAAATTCTGCCAGACTTTACCTGAGTGAGAGCATTTGTTCTGCTTGAAGCCGGTTTGCTTCTTTGTTTTTTAGGAGATAGCTGAAAAGACAAAAGGCAGCTGTCACATCTGGAAGGTTAGGTCATGACGTTGCTCTGCTTGTCCCTCACCTGCTGGGAGTGTTACACTGACATTCCTCTGGCCGCACATTTTTCAGGTGACCTTTGACCTCACGGAGGTTTTTGATTTTGGTCTGCAAAGTTTCGATCTAGGTGCAGCAGACTCCCAGAGTCACCCAGTGGTCATTGTACACGAAATGAGACACACGTTTGAGAATTAAACAACATTCAGCAGTACCTCATGTTCAATGTGCAGCTTGTGGTCCTTCCATGCTTGAAGGGACTTATAGAGACCCCCGTCACACTTCACTGTGTCATTCATTAGGATGGAGCACCTGCAACACACAATATGTAATATAGCATGGAGAAAAACAAGCCCCCCCCCCCCCCCCACACACACACACACACACACCTGTAAGTGACTTTCAAAGCAGCAGGTAGTGTGAGCTTGTCTAGTGTGGTGGGTTTGGCTGTGACTTCCATCCCACTGAATTCTTCTCCATCGTCCTCGTTTCCTGCTCCTCCTCGCCTCCTGTCACTGGTCCAGCTGCTGTTCTTGGATCCCAGGGCTCGGTAGCCCTGCTCCAGGTCGACAGCGTATAGGTCTCCATCCAGCTCGAATGATACAGAACGGGCCCAGCGCCTCCTGGACACAGGCTTACTGGATTGAAGCTCTGCGTAGGACGAGACAAACGAATCTGTGTAACAATAAAGAGATGTGTTTCTAGAATTAGATCAGAATTAAAATAATCATCTACAGAGATTTGCATCGTTTTCTCATGATAAAATAATTTTAATGATTATGTGCCTGCTCTACTTTACCACTAGGTGGCAGTGCAGACATGGCTTTAATCTCAACATGTCAGTGGCTGCTTGTTTTGGATCGACGTCATTTTAAACAAAACCAGAAGCTACTAACAACAATCAGAACAGAGGCTTACTCTTCTTGTTCAGCACCCGCTTCTTCTTCAGGTCAGGTGTTGTGACGCTCATATCTTCACAGTTGCAGCCGTCAGCGTTGGGTGAGAGAGACAGAGTGGAGGCACTGCTGGCCATGAGGGCCTGCATACGAGGGGCAAAAAGACCAGCCATGCCCTTACACTTATACAGCCTCAGCTTGCCCGTTGGGTCCTCCACACACTGCCACTTCTGAATCAAAGCAAAAAGATACACATGCATCACATAACATGCACGTTAGGTTAATTCTTAATTGTCCCTAGGTGTGAGAGAACGAATGGTTGTTAGTCTCTATGTGTCCCTGTGATGGACTGGAGACCTGTCCAGGGTGTCTCACGCCTCTCGCACAGCGACTGCTGGAAATAAGAACCAGCTTCCCGTGACCCAGAAAGGAGAAGCGGGTAAATAAAAAGTATGGATGAATAAATGGATATTTGAGGTGTTTTCATCATTGCGTGCACCATCCATCCATCCATTTTCTTTACCCGCTTATTCCATTTTGGGTCACGGGGGTCACTGGTGCCCATGTCCAGCAATCACTGTGCGAGGGGCGGGGTACACCCTGGACGGGTCACAAGTCCATCACAGGGCCACATAGAGACAAACGAGACAAACAACCATTCACTCTCTCACTCACACCTAGGGACAATTTAGAGTTACCAATCAGCCTAACATGCATGTTTTTGGACTGTGGGAGGAAACCGGGGTACCCGGAGAAAACCCACGCATGCATGGAGAGAACATGCAAACTCCACCCAGAAAGGTCCCTGGACCGGGGTTTGAACCAGGGACCTGCTCACTGAGAGGCAGCAGCTCTACCAGTTGTGCCACCGTGCTGCCCCATTGTGTGCACACAAAACACAATTTGTCCTCTGCGTTTAACCTATCACACATGAGATGCACCCAAGTGGAGCAGTGTGCAGCTATATAAGCACCCGGGGAGCATGTAGGTGTATTGCTCAAGGACATCGCAACATGTGGGCATGGCAGGGAATGGAACCTTTGACTTCCAGGCCTCAAGATGACTGTGACTGTCTAACCAGTATACCACAGTCACCCTTGTTTTTACATTTGTGGGAGGAAACCAGTGAAAACTCATATGTGAGTCATCAGGTAATGTTAAAATATTTCCCTTACACATTTTTCAAAGTACTTCAAATACTGTATAAATTTAGTATTACTGACTAGAGCTCTTAAAATAAATGTCAAATATAGCTCCACAATCTTTACTAAAAAAAAAACACTCAAAGTCTTTAAAAAAACTCATCATATGACAAATCAAACCACAAGAGTACGACGGCCACTTTCAGTGAATGGTCAACCAGATTGCAAATTAACATCCTGCTGAAAATATATTAACCTCTTGTATTTTTCTGAGCTCGTACAGGTCAAGTACCTGTCCTGGCTGCTGGCAGGAGGTCTGGTACTCTGCTTTCTGGCACAAGTCCTTCACCCTCTGGTATTTTGGCAGGAAGTTCTCCTCCTGGGCCATTTCCTTCCCATCGTTCCTCTTGTGTGGAGGTTTCCTGAAAGAACAGAAAGAACATTGACAAGCAGCCTGATCTGGCCAGAAGACGGTGCTGGAATGAGAACATGTCTGGTAAAAGGTCAGTCAATAACACATACCCTCTCTCAACCAGGAAAGAATCTCTCCATGTTTTATTTTTCTTGTTCAGCTGAAACCTGGAAAAATCGTTAAAAGCCACACTGTGATATTTGCACTGAACAAACACTGAAAATGTCACACTCTTTGAAAAGAGAGCGCTGTAATACATTTATATTTAGACTGAATTTCAATATGCACAGGAACGCCTGAAGATCCACTAAAGGTTCAGACAAATCACTTTTTGACTCGTTTTAAAATGACAGTTTTTGCAGAAGATGCTGGAAACACAATCTGGATGTTCACCTGTTCACGGGTCGCTCTGTGGCCAGCAGCTTGAGGATGGACTTGCCGTCCATTTCTGCAGGAATGTCGACACCAGCCATGTCCAGAAGAGTTGGTGCCAGGTCGATGTTTAACACGATGTGAGGGTTACTGCAAAGCAACGGGAATACGTTTTATACACACTTTGATTCACATACATCACTGTAAAATAAACATTTTCACACATTTATGTGTCAGCATCAACAAACTCTACAAAACAGTAAATATTCAGGTAGTTTGTTGAAAATGTTCTACTATTTTGCAAGTACTAGTAAATAACTTTACTACTAAATTCACCAGCCACTTTATTAGGCACACCTGTTTAACTGCATGTTCACACAAATAATCAATCAGCCAATCACAAGACATCAATTAACACCCCTGAACCTTGTTCATGCATGAGTAATCCATCCATCCATCCATCCATCCATCCATCCATCCATCCATCCATCGTCTTTAGGCATGCAGACACAGTGAAGACGACTTGTGTTCAAACTGGGCATCAGAACAGGAAATAACAGGTATTTGAGTGACATTGAATGTGACACTGTTGTTGGTGCCAGATGAGCCGGTCTGAGTACTTCAGAAACGATTTAAGGGATTTTTATGCACAACCATCACTAGGGTTTGCACAAACTCATCAGACCTGGCGATGCTTTTCCGATCTTTTATTGTCTAATCTGAGGGAGTCTGTGTGAATGGTAGACTCACTTTCCTGTTCTTGGCTGATGGGAGCGTGACATCTGGTGTGCTCATCTGCTGCTGTAGCCCATCCGCTTCAAGGCTGGACGTGTTGCTCCTTCAGAAATGGTATTCTGCAGCCATCTTGAGCTAATCTGTCCATTTTTCTACGACATCAACAAGGTATTTTCGTTCACACAACTGCTGCTCAGTGAATATTTTCTCTATTTCGTAGCATCCTCTGTAAACCCTAGAGATGGTTGTGTATGAAAATCCCAGTAGACCAGATTAGAGCAGCAGTTTCTGAAACACTCAGACTGGCATGTCTGGCACCAAAGCCGTGCCATGTTCAAAATCAATTAAATTTCTTTTCTTCCCTGCTCTGATGCTCAGGTTGAATATCAGCGAGTTGTCTTCACCACATCTAGAGGTTTAAATGCAGTGGGTTGCAGTCTTTTTATTGGTTGATCAGCTTTTTGTGTTAACAAGCAATACAACATTTACATCCAATGCAGTGGATGGTGTGTGTTCAACTATGATTATTAAACAAAAGCAGTCCGAGTCACTCACATGGTGCCTTGCTCCACATTAGGTCCTCGTACGTAGAAAGGTACGCGGATATCAAACTCATAAGGCATCGATTTGCCCTTCACCAAACCAAACTGGCCAATATGGTAGCCATGGTCAGAGGTGAAAATGAGGTAGGTGTTGTCCAGCTCACCTGTGTCCACCAACATGTTGTGCAGCTACAAAAGATACAACTCATTTAACACTCACGCAGCATACAAAGTTAAACTTGTAGTATGATTGCTCAAATCTCCTGTGCCATTTTCAAGGAAAAATAGATTGAACAATTTACCAAGTGTGTCAGTGAATTCATTATCAAGTCCCAGCCAGAAGAGGCACAGATCTCCCAGGACCCCAGGCTGGTAGATGAATTGTACGTGTGTGTCTGAGTGTATGTGTGTTTAAAGCAAACGACCGTCTGCTTGTCTACCTTCTCCATGCTGTCGTCCACAGACAGCAGAGTCTGCATCCTCCGGCGCTGCAGCATGTTGGTGAACTGCATGTGGACAGGCTTCATTGGTCCAGTGTAGCGCAGGATCCAGTGCTTGTCTGGGTTTGGAGCATAGTTGTAGCTTGGGGTTCTTCAAAGAGAACACGTATATTAAACATTTAAAAGTTGAGGTGCAATATTCTTTTCTGAATCAAGTCTAATGGTAAAGCAGACAGTGCAAGGTTTTCTAATGTATATTTTTACTAAAACTTGTTTACTAAAGTTTGAAGTCACAAGAAATGTACTAAAATGCTGACAACAGGTGGTACAGCTGTCACTGAGGGATTGGAATAGTGAATGTTTTTAGTTTACAAACTAAGTGTTTTACTAGACTGGAATTAAACAGGAAATACAAGTAAACCTTAATGTTTTTGATGCAACATATTCAAGTGGAGACATTGAGTAGAAGAAGAGAGGAAGCTTTTCTGGTGAATGGAGGAAGCAATTTTATCCACGACCAGGTGCATAGATGGAGCCCAGGGGTGGCCAATGGTGGCCTTGGCCCCATCAGCTACCCCAATCTTTTGAGGAAACTACACTTTTAAGCAGTATAAAGACTCAAAAGCATAGTTTCATCAAATGATTGGGGTGACCAGTTTACGCACTGAACCACCACCTATAGTGCTCACATAGTTAACATATACAGTATACCGGTACATATGTGAAGACAGCCATCTTAGATTTTGACCTGGCAACCCATCTTTCAAAAGCAACTTTTCTTATGCCTAGATGTAGCGACCCACCTAACTTGAAGTTGATAACTCACTTATTTTTCAAGTTATCATGCTTACAACATTCACGCACGCACAAACGGACAGACAGACAGATAAACAGACACACGGAGGACATTTCCAATTCCCCCTCTTTGCTTCATGATGAGAGACAAATTAAACCGTATACTCTACTGGTGTATGCTAATGTCTTTCTTGAGAAAAAAAGAAAACTGTTTATTCAAAGTTGATGTGGATCTTACGAAAACAGCGTAAAATGCGGCGCGCTGCAATCAAAAAGCCTGCACAAACCGATCGACATTTAATTTTACGCAATATACGAGTTTAATCATTTGTGAGGTTCAGTAAGAAAACACGTGGAATCTGTGCACGCGAGGATTTTGTCACTGTCGTGCAATTTTGACAGCAATAAATTGCAAAGTGAGCGTCAAGGTGAGAGGGGTTCTCTCCAGATTAGTGCATAAATTCTCCTGCCTCAATCTTCTCCTCTTCTTAATGAGGACAGATGGAGGTAGAGTGGAAAAAAAATGGCCAGAGAAAGCGCTGTGAGCCACTAAAACCCAAGAGAGTGCATTTATGGAGGGAGAGCAATAAAAAGTTTGCACAAAGACACTGAGGTTGAATTGTCTGAATATTCTGTGTAATAAGGCTGTGTGGAGCAGGTTAATGATGCTGAGGGGATTAGATGAAGCAGTGTGAGTGTGTGAGGGGGTTGGAGGGAAAGAGTGGAAACTACAATCTCATTACTGGTTTTAGATACATCTCTGGAGGCCGGTAGTGGGCTTGCTATTATCTAGCAGCAGAAAAAAGCCAGTCACGAGTGCAGAGGGTCAGAAAAACAAAGTGTGAACTGATGGAGGTTCAGTGTGTTGTTGCTTTTATGTGTCTAAATGATCAACTATGCATTAAAAAAACCTCTTTTATGTTTTTCTTTGATCTTACCTGACAAAACAGCATAAATGATGAAGGCTTAATATATAGACAGTACTAATGTGAGCAAAACCAGACAAATAAATCAGAATAAAACACTGGCGGTGCGAGACTCTTCAGCAGCTGACAACAAGGCAGAGGAAGACAAGCTCGTGCTGAGATTAAGGAATTTGTGTCATTCTGGGTCAAATAATGCAGGAATGAGTCATATTCTATTAAACAGCAGTGAAAATGTACAAATGCATCATTGCACTTTCAGCTTTGTCTCAAAAATGAACAGAAACAGAAATAAGCAAGTCCTGTTGAAGAAGCTCGACACTTTAAGATAAACCTAAAACAGTTTGACCCTTTTATAGTTTGGTTAATCATGGAGATGTTTTTAAACTTTGACGTCCTTACATGTGCTGCGAGGCGTTTGGGAAGGCAGAGCTGTACTGTGGAGCCGAGTCCTCTGGACCGTGCGGAGCCACATGGCTCAGGACCATCATGATGGGCCGGTGAGGGTACATCCTCTTGGACATACGGAAGTAGTTGATGCTGTCGTTGGTGATGATGTCTGTCAGGTAGTCCTGTAGAGGAATGATATCCACCAGACACCCCGTTAGAGAGAAAAGGAGTGACAGAGCAGATGTCAGAGCACACACAGCTGGGATGGATCAGAGCCAAATACACATCTGGAATCAAATCCATCACCAACTAAAGCAAAACCATGCACATGTTTAATAAACGGTGTAAACTGTGATCCCTTTATTTTATCTATACATGTTCCTTTAGAATATCATTTACAAATTATATCAGGTTGACAAAACCAAAGTAAACAACTTTGAGTTGTAAATACTGTTTTTGTACCACTCCAGTTTTGAAAAAGTTGGGACGTTGTGTAAAATGTAAATAAATAAAAAGAAGGCAACGATTTTCAAATCTCAAACGCATTTTTATTCACGAGTTCAATAAACAATGTTAAAACTGAAAAAGTTTTTTTATTTTTTTTTATTTTATGACAGCAACACATCCAAAACATTTGGGCCAGTGGCAACAAAGAGCTGTAAAATCAAGTGGTGCAAATAAGAAACAGCTGGAGGAGCATTTTGTAAATAATTAGGTTAATTGACAACAAGTCAGTAAGAGGACTGAGTATAAAAAGAGCATTTTAGAGAGGCGCAATCTCTCAGAAGTAAAGACTGGTTCACCGATCTGCACAGAACTGTCTAAAGTAGTGGAACAATTTCAGAATAATGTTCCCAAGCAAACAATTGGCAAGACTTTCCTATAATCTGTAGTTTATAACATCATGACAGTTTTTAAGGATCTGGAGAAATCTTTGAGCTCAAATATCCTGATGCATGCTCAATAATCCAGGTAGAAAAATCCAAATCCATATTTTGAGCTCAAAGTACAAGACTGAAAGTTAATACTGAATGGTTGCTATCTTCAGGCCCTCAGTGGCCGCTGTGTTAAAAATGGGTCTGATTCTGCTCTGGTCACTGCATGGCCTCAGGGACACAATCCATTTTGTTTCCACAGTCACTGTGACTTCCACAAATGTTGGTAAAATCTCTATTGTGCAACGACGAAGCCATATGTGACCTTTCACTTCCTGTTGTCTTCCCTGGACCAAAGCTAATTTAAAACCCGAGGTAAAGTGGAAGACTGATCTGTGATCAGACAAAAATCTAAATTGAAACTTTTTGGAAACCACAGACACTACACACCATATAGAGGCAAGGGATTATCCAACCTGTCATATGTGCACAATTTAAGAGCCTGCCTCTCTGGTGGTATGGGGGTACATTAATGCCTCTGGCATGGACAGCTTACACATCTAGGTTAGGTCAGGTTCATTTGTCATGTGCAAAATCAACACAAGGTCAACAATGCAATGAAATGCTTAGGACGAGAAGAACCGTCTCAACTCGTCAAAAAAAAAAGAAAAAGAAAACAACAACAAAAAATATCAAAGCATGCAACAAAAATACTAAAAACACTAAAAAAATATTTAAAATACTATTAAAATACTAAAAACAAGGTGCCAAAGTTGTAAAAGAAATGCATCTACAGTGTGGTTTGGTTAGCAGTGAGGTTCTTTCAACATAATGGTTCTGTTCTGTTTTAGTGGCGTGGTCTTGTTAGCAGCTTAGCAGGTCCGGTCCACAGCTAGAATGGCACCATCAGTGCAGATAAGTATATACAGGTTTTAGAACAAGATTTGCTCTCCAGACATTGTCTTTTTCATAGAAGGCCTTGCATATTTCAGCAAGACAATCCTAAACCTCATAATACATCCAGTAGAACTGTATGACTTCATAGTCCAGGTGCTGAGCTGGTCTACCTGCAGTCCAGACCTCTCACCATTTGAAGACATTTGGTGCTTTATGAAATTAATAATCCAGCAAAGAAGACCCAGGACAGTTGAATAGTTATAATCCTCCATCAAGAATGAGACAACATTCCCTCTAAAACTCCAGCAGCTGCTCTCCTCAGAGGTTTACAGTCTATTGTTAAAACAAGAGTGGATGTTTCAAAGTGGAAAACATAGCCCTGTACTGTTTATTAGAAGTGTTGCTGCTATAAAATAAATAAAAATTCTTATATGATTGTAACATTTCTAAGTTTAAACAGCTGATATGTTTAGTGTGTCCCATTGTGAATGAAACGTGAGTTTATGAGATTTGCAAATCCTTGAATTCTTTTATTTTCATTTTAAAAAACACCCTAACATTTTTGGACCTGGGGTTGTGTATGATGTGACAAGAATCCATCCATCCATCCATCCATCCATCCATCCATCCATCCATCCATCCATCCATCCATTCATCCATCCATCCATCCATCCAT